GTTTCTAGTTGTCACTTAAAATGATCAATCATATAATATTACGAAAAATGTGCCGAACTTCAATTTGCTTTTCAGCCAACTGGACTTCCAATTGATGGTTTCCATCCACGAATTTGATAACTCAGATTCACGTTCAGGTAAAACACACCATTTGAGTGGTACAAATTTGAAGTATTTAACCATAAATTTCTTTTCTGAGGCAAGTTGACTTTGGATCTTGGTAAGTATTATCAGAATAGACTTTGCCTCATGCAACTTTTTCTGTGTCAGTTAGCTAAAAAATTGGCAGCAGTCCATATTTTCAAAAAAGTTTTTGTTGATTGTAGCCAATACTTGACCATTCTTTTTCATAAAATATATTGCAATTTTCCTTCTTTAATTTTAATCTCTCAAATTTCTCTACAAGTTATAATATATTTTCTATTTTCTAATTTATTTTGAGCAGTGATACTAGAGTCAATGGTAAATAAAGGTGATCAACTCCTGGTATCAAAAGTCTCCTCAGCAAAGAGAGTCTGATGGCACCTCTTGTCATAACTGCTTATATGGTTACTCTTAGCCTGATATGGGGATCTCCCAAATGTTCTAGGCTCCCCCGGTGACCCAAAATGGTGCCAAAGAGTCAAACTCCTGTGGCTATGAGGCTATGTCCTTATTTTTTTAGAGCTAAATACACTGAAGTTGAGAGATTTATTGTATAGGCAACTGTGGGGTAAATATGTCTACTTCGAGCGTTTCTTCAGTTGCAATTTCAATGTTTAATGATGGAAACTATGAAGGCATGGGGTATTAGATAGAAGAAGAATGAGAAGAATATGATTATAGTGAAACATAACTGATAATGATTTGTAATTTTTACATCCACGGACAGATCAGCTCAACCAAAAGTTAAGATCGTAAATGGTGAACTTGAGCAATCAAAAGTAAAAGGGACAATTGCAATAAAAAGAGGGGAGTTATGAAAATTGCCACTGATGTTCTTCTCATTCCAAAAATATATCTAAATCTTCTTAGTGTTGCACAATTGCTAAGAAATGGATATGCAGTCGTCTTTCAAAGGAAATGATTGTTTATCATTGATGATGAAGCAGAGATAGCAAAGCTTGAATTGACGAGAAACGGATTACATTTGATTACATATGGATTAAGCATATATGTGTTTACCTTTATTGGGTTATCTGACGACTTTGAAGAGCAACGATTTTTCTGCCTGACAAAAATCTGTAACCAGACCATTCAGTGCCGTATTAGAAATGCAACAAAATTTCACCTCCATAATGAAATTGCTGAACTAATTATTCAACTAAACATCTTGTTTCAGTTCAAAAGCTAGTTAATTAAGGACTGCAAATCATCAGCATGCTGACACTTCAATATCACAGATCAGCTGATTCAACATAATAGCACAATATATAAAGAGTTTAAAAGAAAGTTTATACAAGACATTATTTGCACAACTAAGAAATTGTTTCCCAATCAATGAGAACTATAGTATAGTAAACCCATATAGCCTGTAGGACAATTATTAAAACCAACTTTTCAAAGCTATATAAGCACAGTTTTACTGGATTTTATTTACTAATGAATATCCAAAGCCAAAAAACTTGTTGCGTACAGCCACATAGTAACTTATTTACTTTGCTCTTTCTTTACCTTTTAACTTTGAGGGGAGGGTGTGTATACACAGTTATAAAATTTAGTCAACAATAATAGTTACCTGATGGGTAGACTTGCTGGGAAGAAACCTTTGTTGAATTGCTTTCCAGTCTGTATTATATTCCAATATCCCTAAGGCTAGTAATCTGTAATAAATACTTTCAGTAAACCCCGTGAGCTTGTCTTGAACAATGAGAATACAATTATGATAAATAAATGCTGAAAATGCAGAGACATGCTGCTATTATTAAGTGGCCATATGCTGCAATGGTAGAACAAAGCGGATTTTGCATGAAAGAAAATGTTGGACACAATATTAATGGCAGCAAGGCTGGCATTTTGGAAATGACGGTCTGCAAGACATTTTCATGATTCTGAAAATGACACTACCTCAGTGCATGCTTTTTGTGGATGATATAGTGTCAGTTGGAGAGTCAGGAGTTGAAATAAATGGAAAGTTAGAAGTATGGAGATAAACCTTGGGAACACGTGATGTCAGTCTAAGTAAATTTAAAGCATAGTAGTATATAAATTGCTAGCCCAGCAATAAACACATTACACTCAGATCCTAAGAAGTGAAAATTGGAACAAATATTTATTAGAGAAGTTTATTAACTGATGGAAGGACTGGTTGAAAAGGAGAACTTATAAGAGAAGTAAAATCAATCTTGCATCTATTTTCCCCAAACCTTGTTAGGTGGAAGCGAAAGCTCCAACATTAGAGTCAAGGGTTTAAAAGAACTCAAACCACTTCTTACCAGGAAAAAATTAAGCTTTCATACCTCCATTTGAATATGAAAATGTGATTGATAAGATGTTGGGGTATGAAGTTGGCGGGAGCGTTGAGATATTGATATTGATATTGATTATAATAAGAGTGGTTAGTATCCATCAGGATCATGATAGGATTACATTCCTATTTAGATCACATCTCTCATGTATATAAATATTTGTATTGTACAAATCTTTTCATTATTGTGTGAGAAATATAAATACTCGAGTAGTACTAAGTAAACAGAATCAAGTCGTGTAAATCATTTAACATAGTTGGCTAGCACAAAGAAAGGAATGCAACTTACTCATCCTCCGAATCAGTGAAAAGCATCCTATTTACAACTGCTGATGGGGGTGGTTTGTGTGGGAATAATGCTGGATTAAAAAAGGCCAAAAACCTTTGAGTTGAGTTTGCAACTTCCTTTGGTACCAAAGCAATTGACTGTTTTTTGGTACTTTCAACAAGCATGGCAGCAAATGATTTCTTAGGTTGTTGTTTACCAGGTGAAGATGAGACTGCATTATTTTCTACAGAGATGGTTCTACTTGAAACTTCATTGTTAGCTTCAGCAGCAGATGAAGAAAAAGGAAATAGAGGTTCCTTTTCGTTACTTAGATCATAACCAGATTCAATGAATCGCTTTCGAAACTTTTGGGCACCTGTAAATGGAATTTCAATCAAATGCTTGAATAAGTAAAGAGTCATTATCATGAACAATATAGAATGGAAAGGCATGAAAAAAACTTAAAATATTTAATATGACCTACCGGAATTAATGTCATCTACATATTCTCTTAGTAAATTAAAAGGAGCAACATCTAAAATAGATTGCACGGGGCCTCTTACAAAAGGAAACCAGAAAGAACCGTCAGCATCTTGAAAACATCTTTTTTGCCAATTCAAACCTTCAGAAGGGGTCTGCGGGGATTGAGGAAACCACGCATTCATGGCATCATGGGTAGAAGCAGATTCTGTGTTGCACTGGCCTGGGACAGCGTTGGACTTCCCATTGGACACAGATGTACAGGGAAAATAGGGAGTAAAGCAAACAGCCGGATATGGTGTTCTGGTTGAAGCTAATACTTGATCCCGTTTGTGAAGCATCTCAAAAAGCAAACTCTGAGCTTGAGAAGCTACTTGTTTGTGTGTAGGATCAAGAACCGACAGAGAAAACACCTGAATAAGAAGTTGCACATGCTCGTGTATCAAACAGTGCAACTGACCAATCTGCTGGGGAGTAAAGCCATTAACAAGACCATTCCTTGAAGCAGAAGATTGATTGCTGAGAGTAGCACCAGGCATCAAACCATTCCCTGAAGCAATGTGTCCATTAATCCAACAAGGCAAAATGGGGCGAAGTGGCCTGCTAGCCTGTCCTAACGTTCTTCTCTCAATCTGTGAAGAGGTCTTCCGGCGCTTATTTTGCCTAGTCTCCGGTCGTCGTCCAGCACCATCACACTTCTTTTGGTTTTCCACCGCTGCATTCTCATCCCCATCACTCTCCAGCAACTCTTCAAGCTCTAACTCAAAGTCTGCATCGTTATCCTCATCATCATCATCAGGGTTTACATTTTCATGCGATGAAATACCTTCATCACCTTCTCCACCTTGTAAAACAGCTGCTAGAAATTTTTTATACTCTTCTTCATCATCAACATTTTGATGATCATCCTCATCATCAGTCTCTTGAAGAAAGGTCTCAAGCTCATCAAGACTAAAACCTTCAAGCGAATAACGAGCTCTAGTGCGCATACAAATAGCATCCTCATTATCTAAATCTACCATCGGACCCTGAGATTTTGTTGGAGTGTTACTTATTCCTCCTGTCCCAAAACCATTACTAGCACCACTAATCAACTCATTGTTCTTCTCTTTATCACTCTCAAATTGAGAGATAACACCCGACGGTCTTAAACTAATTTCCTCCTCCCCATGTTCAGAATCTACCGCACTACAAATTACCTCATTAGCTGCAATCTTTTCCATCTCTACACCCATTGATATCCCACTATCTCCAACATTCCCACCCAAACCATTACCTTCAGAACTCAAACTTGACGAAGCATCCGAAAGTGTTTCCTTTAAAAACAAAGGATTAAAATCCACATCTTCTTCCTCTTCCTCCTCTTCCTCTCTATCCTGATCCGCGGCAACCCCAATTTCCGCCGACTCAGTATTCAAACCTGTAGACATTTTAAATAAACAATATATACATCAATTTCATATGCTTCTCAAACCAAAATTCAAATTCATTCAAGAACCAACACCTATAAATTATCAAATCAAGAAGGTATCAAGAATCAATTACTATCAGTTATCATATACTTACTTTACCATCTTCCAAAGGCAATCGCATAGAAAAAAATGAAAAATATAAAATTTGATTTAAAATCAAATGCTGATTTACAACAAAACAAAAACATTACCTAAATTGTAGAAATTCTCGGGGAAAAAAATCAATTAATCTAAGTATTATTGTTATTGTAAGCATAATAATAAAAATAATAAACATCAAAGATTCTAAATTTCATCATATACTCACCAATTCTAACTTCCATGGTTGTCGTTTTCAGCACGTGGCAACTTCTGTAAACGACAATACGCTACTGTCGTGTCGAAAAAGGTTTATGTTCAGTGTAACGTTGATTTTCCAGAAATTAAGAACCCTAAACGCAAAGGATTGAATTGAAATTGCAATGTATGATTTTGAGGGGATTTTGTGTGCGTAGGGTTGGATGGAATCGAGAATGATCAAAGAGGGGGAGAGATTGTTTGTAGTGTGTTTGGTTTGATAGAAGTTGTGAAGAGAGAAGTAGGAGAGAAAGACTTGACTTCTTCTGTTTGGAATGCAGAGAAAAAACATTCCAAAACTCATTTAATTTAGAGACATATGTGGAATTTTTTTTGCAATAACTATGTATTAAAAAAAAAATTCGCAAATAATCATGTTTCGGAAAAAATTACGCAAATAACTATGTTTCAGATTACTCTCTAAAGGAGGAGTCATCTCACTTGGCGCCTACACCTATTATTTAAGGGGAGGCGTCATCTCACTTGGCGCCTAGGTGCTTAGGGCTTATCCTAAGCCAAGTGAGATGGCGCCTAAGTGCATTTTTAGGGCAATTTTCGCGTTTTTTTTCAATCCGGTGCGTTGCATATTCGATATAGGATCAACAAAATTAACTTTTTATTTACAAAAGATGATTACACCCATAAGTATTACATAAAAAAATACAGATTAAAAAAAATAGATTAATCAGTGGTCTCCCGGAACCCGGTAATGACCCCTAGTTCCGCATCCCCATCCTCGTCTTTCCCGTGCTGGGTGTCGTCGCGTTTCTTACTGTGGCATGGTCGATGGCCCAGCGAAGTCAATGCGTTCCAGATCCATAAAATCAGTCAAATCTCCATATCTAGAAGATCCGCTTTGGTACAGTCGGTTACCCATATCCTCAAAGTTTGGTCGTGTTGGCGGTGGGTGGGGTTCCATGGTGGGTCTGTAGCATTGATCGTCTGAGTACGGGGGGTAGAAAGAAAATGGATCTTGGGATGTTTGGTATTGAGGATGTTGGGTAGTTTGGTGATACTGTGGTTGATGGTAAGTTGGGTCGGTTGGTTCATAATCTTCCGACATTCCTATATCAGGGCTAAGGCTAAATGTTGAGGGGCCCATATTGGGATATACAGAAGACTGAAATTGTGTATGGGGTATGCGGGTGTGTTGGTATTATGATTGGAATTGCGGTTGGGTGTGAGGCATATGGGGGTATTGGTACTGAGGTGGTGATTGTGGTTGGTTGTGGGGAATTTGGGTGTAATTGTGTTGTGGTGGCGACTGTGGTTGGGTGTTTGTGGTTCTGTTTCGTCTGGGGGGTTGGTGGAGGTTGATGTGTGTTGGGTTTGTTGTTGGGGAAACGAGGGTTGTGCCCATTGTGTTCGTGAGTCAACCAAATACCTTGGGTGAGACACGTGCATTTCAGGGTTACTAACCGATATGTGCCAAGATAAATATTGATCTGTGTGTTGCATATTACCATGATTGAGGAAAACTGGGAATTGCAAGACATGTCGGTGACGCCTCTGTCACATCTTACACCATTCTGGAGCAAAATCTTTCTAGTTGGTAAGACCCCACTGGGCGTCGACCCTTTTGAGATGCCACGGGGACAAACAAGTCGGATCACTGGGTATCTCTTGATGCATTCTGAACTGCATCTTCACACGGTCGTACAACATTGAACCGTATGATTGCAGTCTTGGCGCTCCAAATTGCTGCATCCTCGGGGGTTTGGTTCATGGCCCAAACCCAAATATGGTCTCCAGAAAAACTGCACATAAAATTAAATCAGGTTAATGAAAGTGTAATACATAAATAATTTAAAAGTAGAAAAGTTGAAAGGTACGACGTACATCATCCAGGCCTAGGTGATCCAATAGATTACGGTATAGTGCGACATTGAATCTTGGATTCTTTCCGTAATCCATACCCCTCACGCAATACCTAAAGGAAATGAAAAATATTTATTTTTAACATATATTTGGTGAAGAGATGAACAATAATAAATGATATAATTAGATGACTTACTTTGTTGCGTACGGGAAAACGAATGTGTTGTTATTGACGGGGTTTAGGGACTCCATCCTCCACCAACCTCAGGCTTAAAGTAAAAAAGCGCAGCCATAAAATGTACATTTTTCCTTGATTGCATTTTTGCACAAGGAACTTGTGATACGGTGGGAGAACTGACTATGGTTTTACGTTTGTATTCGCAAATGTTTCGGTTGAGCAAGAGTCGCCACCGACTTTTTATTTTATCTTAAGGAAAGGTTTAAAAAGCACAGCAAAAACCTTTGAGATTTTTTTCTTGGGTTCGGGGAGTAGATTATAGAAAGGGAAGGTATTAGCACCCTTTCTATCCATGGTTATCCATGGGCTCTTAGTTACTTGCTTAGATCGCTTGCCTTTTTCCAATTGTTTGAAATGATGCTTTGTGTGTGTGTGTTTTTGAAAATGTTTTGAAAAGAGGCCAATGTGGTGGCAACCTTTGTAATGATCCATGTTGGGATGTATACAAAGGTGTATGTCTTTTGAAAAGGTTTTCATTTGTTTTTGAAAGTTGTTTTGAAAGTGTTGTGAGGTGTGGTTTTTTTTAAAAAAACAGGCAAGTGTTTTTGTTTTGCAAGTTGACAAGTACTTAAGAGCGATCTACCCTAAAGTTCTCAAAGATCTTTGCTATGTTTTTAACCCTTTTAACAATTTTGTTCCACCATTGTATTTGGTGGCCAATCTTGTGTTTAGGATGTGAAAGGGACGGGCGTGGGTCGTTGTTTAGACCATAATTACAATGGTGCCAAGTATCCTTGGGAATTTTCTTTAAGGGACTTTGATCATTTTTAGGCAAAAAGCGTCATCGAGGGACTATGATCATTTATTTGTTTTGCCCAAAGAGACCTAACATGCAATATGGCCTAATTTTGAAAGGCAACAAGTGGATGTAACCCTAGGGGTGTTAGTGTGCAAGTGTGTTTTATTGCATGCAAGAGTTTTTTTTCTTTGAATTAGGTTTTTTCTATTTCATCGATTTTATCTTGCCATACACGTCCTAATTACTAGCAATAAGAAACGGGAATGTAAAATCCTACGCTATTACAACAATTAGGGGAGGGGGATACACATTTGTACATGGGGGGTTCAACGAGAAAAATAGACAAAAAAGAAAATAGCAAAAAACAAGATATATAGAGAGAGAGAGAGGGAGCCTGCGCGCTGCTGGGAGGCCATCAGAAGTTCTGACTCAGATCCGCTGCCAGATGATCAACCTGTTAGTGAAACTGGATGAGTCAGAACTTCTGACTCTAGCACCTGCAAAACAGAACCTTGTTAGTGAGGAAATCATAAGTTCTGATTTCCCTGCGCTGCAAGATAGAAGTTTGTTAGTGGAGAAACCAGAAGTTCTGATTCTGCTGAAAAGGAAATAACTCTCAGAGGTTCTGATATCATTGACAGCAAAACAGGCTTCAGATATGCTAACGTCAAAGTCAGCACTTGGCTTTTCCCTGTACTAACCAGAACATCTGCAATCCTGTTGTTACTCCACAAAACAGGAAACATATTTGGAACAGATCCAGCAAATAGCAAAAACGTTTCAGAGGTCAGAATCACCAAGATCACAGGCAAGTCCTATACTGGCTCAGAACGTTCTGAGGTACGAAAGTCCTCAGAACATAAACAGCAATAACATGAATATTTACATTATGTTACTTGAATATGCACAGCTGATGATGCTTAACAGTGTGATGAGGGTCAGCAGGTGCTTACCTGACTGTTTGGAAAAGTTGGTGAGTGAAAGTTTAGCTTTTGGTTCTGGTGGTGTTCTGGACAGATTTTGAAAAGGGGGAGTAAAGGTGTATACGTATGCAGGGTCAGAAGTTTGGAAAGAGTGTTTTTGGTTTACAGAAAAAACTGGATATTTGATGAAGTTTGGGGGTGAGAAACTCAAAGTTATGAAACAAAACTGGAGATTTTGGCAGAGTTTCAGAACACTATGTTGCTAAGAGTTCTGTTTCTCACTTAGCAATTTCTGTTTCTTTTTCTTGAACGCCTTTTGCAGTGGTGAAAGCTCTCTATTTATAGGCAAAGTTCTTGTGGATGCCTTGGACATTAAAGGTGCCAACAGAGTTTGAATTTGTTCTTTGACAGAAATTCCTGGGAAGTTGTGATAACAGCTAGCTTTCAGCCTAGGTTGCAGCAGCAGGCGTAGATTGGGGAGAAGTGACCTCTGAAGTGGGCGGTGGCGTGAAGACCCATGCCAGAATCTGTGCAAAAGCGTTTTCCCAGCCACACGTGAATGTTCAGGAGTGGTTGGACGCATTAATGGGCATTAAATGGTGACAAGACCTGTCAACACCAACATTCTGGTAATGGAAACTAGCGTTGAATCAGCAGCGTACACCATGCTCTGGCCTTGGCTACCTGTTGTCTTAGTAAGCTCTGGAAATTCTCCTGGTTTTCTGGTACGTTCCTTGGATTTACTTCTGGACAATCTGGACTTAGAGATTCTGTATCAGTGTAACACCCACTCTTCTGATCTTTCATCTTCTGATTTTAACCTGTTCTGAAGGAGCCTTCAGACTTCCCTGCTTCTCTTGTATTCCTTTAGAAAATTCTGACTGAGCTTGTGTAACTGCTGAAGGGGCATGTTCTGTTTGAAGCTTACATATTAAACCATGTTTACAACTTCTGATTGAACTGATGTAGCTGCTGAAGAGCCAACTTCTGACCACGCTGAGCCAAGCTTGCAACTTCTGACCGTTTTCATCTGGAATGGGTCCAGAAGTTCTGAAGCGCTGATTTTTTTTCTTAAACACTCATTTTAGAGAAGCGTTCTAAGTACTTAGGATTTGATTTTTCTCAAGATAAAAGCGTTGTTTTTGGAGTTCGTGAGATCATCTTGCTTTTGTAAGTGGCTTGCTTGGGCAAAAGGATAACTCAGGACTGGGATTTGTTTCAGAGGGACCTTGAAAATTCAAGATGGTTTCCTGAAGAAAGGGAGGGCAAATTTTGGGGTACAACAGTTGCCCCTGTTCAATCTTCTTGAACCTGAAGAGTTAGACTGGCAATCTTGCCTTTCGTGACTCGAAGGTAAAAGGAGATTGGACATTAGAGTGCCCGGAAATTTGCACTCGCATGTTGGAGTATCAATAATGTGATGTCGGGAATGGGCTTATAGATGCCATTTGGAGAGGTGGTGGATAGGGAGATGGGCTTATAGATGCCATCTGGAGATGTGACAGAACTTCGTCGGGAATGGGCTTATAGATGCCATTTGGAAGTGATGACCGCACAAGAGATTCCTTGGCGAGAACTTTATGTAT